CCCTTTATTTGCATGCAGTCATTCCCAGAGGAGACTGTGAAACTGCATGAGACCTGTTGTATTTCACGGTACAATGTCTTGATCTGGAGTTACAGCACTGTAACAAGAAGCTTATCCCACACACAATCTGCATCCTATGCAATTACATCAAAGAGAATATTTTTGGGACAGACTCTCAGCTGATTTGCCCTCTGTTTTAAAACCCATTGTGGAAAGTCAGTCGAGCATGTAATTTTTTTACCTAAGTTTATAGGTGAATAGAAAAGCCAGGAAGAATGATTACGGTTTCTAGTCTCACCTCTTTAGATAAAATGTCTTTATATTTCACCCAGTTACTTGTGCTGAGGGCAGTACAGGCACAATGTGCTAGAACACCCACCAGTATGAACTCAGTTATATCACAATAAACATCCCTTTCACTTGCTCTAATAATTTCCCCTTCCTGTAGAAGAATTTCTGTATTAATCTCAAAGAGTTTGCATTCACACTGAAGAGGCAGAGTTGTCTCCTTTTGTTATTACCAAAGGTATTTATACATTATCAGGATTTTTTTCTAGAGCAGTAAAACAGATAGATGAGCAGTCTGTTGTACAAAAACAAAACCTGAAACAAGTATAGAAATCTGTTTTAGTTTGTAGATTTGAAGAAAAGGCTGCTTTTTTTGAAGGATTTGTTGTGGGGAGAGCAATAGCTTTTCCGGAAACAGCCCCTTCTGCTTTTTAAAGTGAATATTTAAAACTAACTATTTATAATAGAAATCATGCCTGCACAGGAACACTTCCATATGAGCAAAATTCACCTACTGTGGATGCAGATGTGCAGGCAAAATAGTAAAGCTTTCCTTTCTGCTCCCTACACCATGCATCTCGAGTGAAAAAAGTCACACAGATAAAAGTGCAGTTTTGATGGCAAAGCTACAACTGTACTTCCTCATATATCTGACACACATATTTTTTTCCACTAAAAGGCTACAACAAAGACATGCCAATTTGCGTAAGAGGCATATACACTTCTGAATCTCTTCCTTGTTGACGTGGAGTGCTCATTTGGAATGACAGAAAGGGAAAACTGAAAAAGTAGTTTCTGGGTATTGAATAAGGATCTTACCCAGAAGGATGAGAGTAAAAATATCCATGCAATTTTGCGGAAATACTCTGAAGTCACAGAGGGAGTTTAAGCTATTGTATATATTTTCCTTGCATTACTTTACTATTCTCTTTACTTACCAAAGTCTTTCTTAATTTCTTTCTCTCATATTGCTGTTTCTGTTTTGTTGTCCTGGCCATTTGTTATGTGACTGCACACTTTTAAGTGGATAATTCTCAAATGATCAGTGGGTGCAAGAGAAGAGAGATCATTCTCATCAGCATAAATTGATTATTGGATATATGTGCACTGGGGCAAATGGCATTAGCAAATGTAAATAGGACGCGTGATCCAGGAAGAAGCTTGGTGAATAGAAGGAAGCACTTACAGCAATTTTGTCAGAAGTCACAAATAAACTTCATCACAAACAGGACTGAATTAAAAAGAGATCTGGGCACTATGTGTCTTCTATTCACATGCTTAAAGTATTTAGGGGAAAAGAAAAGATCAAATATCTAATTATAATCTTCTGATGCACAGCCCAGTAGGCTCTGGCACACTCATAAGGAAGAAGGACTCAGTTAAGGATCTATGCACATTTTCCATTATTTATTTTATAGGGAAACGAACACTCATGATTTCCAAAGCTAGAGATTATGCACTTATTTCTTTGTGTGTCTTGTTTTCTTTTTTAAAGACTATTTGCTTCTCTTAAAAAAAAAAAACAAAACACAAAAAAAACCCCAAACAAAGTCTTCTGGACAAAAAAAGAGTATCTATTTACCTTGAAGTAGGAGTCTAAATCTTATCTCTTGTCCTGGCTGACATCAGTTCCTTCTACAGTTACAAATACCTTGTTGCATTCTTATATTTTCAAAACCTTTTTTTAAATTATCTGTGAAATCTCTGGGACATTTTTGTTTCCCACTGGGTTTGCCCTTTCTACAGAGGTCTCTTGGAGAAAACCAGGTGAGTTGAAATGAGCAGTGCGCCACAACTATGACAAGAAACATCACTAGCTCAGCCAAACTAATGTCCAAAGGTCCAGAATGCATGTAAACTCCCTGGGTCCTTTTTCATCTGGTACAAATCTGAAAAGTTTTGTTGGCATCAGCATTAAACACAGTTGATGTTGGCCTGACTCACTTTGTCTAATGAATGGCATTTAGGACTGAATCATCTAACCTTTCCAAACACTATGCCAGTTTACACCAGCTAAGAATGTGACCTAAAGCATTTTCTGTTTTTGACATCATGCTATAGGAAGGATTTTATGTGTGGTACAATGATGCAGACAAACAAAGTCTGTCACTGAATTTGGAAGTAAGTCATAAACTCCTGGAGCTTCTGGAAAGGTTAGAAGACTCCATCCCAGCTACCATCAGCCGGACTAAGTGAGTCATTTCCAGACTAGAGGTGAAAACACGCAGAGGGAAGAGACATAAAAATCCCCAGAAGGATGTTAACTCCATGAACATAAAAAGAAGTTCTGATTAAAAGGTCAGCATGGCTGGGTTTGGAGAGAAGCATTCCAGGATTTTTTAATATGGAGAAATATTATTTATTAACATTAACTGTCATATTGAAATGGCCATATGAGCCAACATAAAAATTATTTCAAAACCTTCAAATGTCTAAATTTTGGAAGCATATGAATAGAAGTTAAACCTCAAAGACATTCACAGAATTGATTTAATGGTTTGTTCTGTAATGATCAACATTACCCTCGGGTCTAATAAGTAAACATTATGCTCTGTTGTGGTGATGAACTAAAACAATTGTCTAATGTTAGCAGTGCAGTGGGGGTGGGGACAAGGTTGACCTTTTGCATCAAGGAAAAATAAAAGTATTTCTCTCTCATCTTCATGTTGGAGTGTGATACTGCATTCCTAATTTGCCCCAAACTCCAACTGGCTTCCAGCATCCAAGGAATGTAGAACTGGACACAGAGTGGCAAGCTGCAGATTTTGTATGCAGTATACTGTTACAGATAGTGGTGGGAAATATAACATTTCATGGGTTTTGTGTTATCAGAAGGTTGTATTTCATGGTTGTGATTTCATTACCGTGTGATCTGGCCTATTTGGCAACTGGCTACATTTTATTCTGATTATTTGAGTCACTTCTGATGTATGTCTCTGACTGTTCTTCCCAAGCTGTTTGGATAATGTTAACCCCAAAATAATCGGAACAACTGTTAGCCCCCAGTTCCTTCTGATTCATTGCTACATCCACTTGTGTTTTAATTAATTTGGAAGTTCTTTAGCGAAAATACTGTCTCTTTGCTATAATTTTGCATATTGCTTACCACAATAGGAGTCTCATGCCCACTGAAGTAGTGTCATAGAAAAGCATATTGGTAATGGAAGGAAATATTGTACCTGAATTTTGTATTTTCAACTAACTATCATGAGACATCAATAATTGCAGATAATGTCAAGGAAAACTCTACCTTAGAGGTTCTGGTAAGAGGTTTAGTTTTCATTTACCTTACCAGAACATTAACAGAATTAGGTGATGCAAATACAATTTTGTAACTCATGGTTCCCTAATAAATTTCCTATACATATTAAGCTTTATAAAATCTATCTGAAATGGCTGCTGCAGTAAAAGTATAGACCCTGAATTCACCATGGAATTTAAGCATGTGCATAAATCTAGACACATAAAGCATTTCACTGGAGCCATGGGTCAGACCTCCTCATCCACTGCCCTGATTTGATATCATTTATCTCATTTACCTGTAGGCCTGCTTACAACATTCTGGCAGTGCAATGAGGGTTTACATTTGTGCAATTAGCACTTAAAGTCCTTCTACCCTCCTTTGTTGGTGTAACAGGTTATGAATACAAATTAGGTCCTGCCTCCTTATTTAAAAAAATAGTCATATTGACCATAATTGCCATATTATCAATAGTATTATTTGGTTTGGCTCCCACCATAGCTAGTGAAATTTTACAGCAAATTATTGTCTAGAATCAGAAGGCTCAAACGGTAAACACATAACAAGGAAAATGTCCTCACTAAAACCATGTCCTGGAGTTAATTAAATTGATCACTTTTTTTTTAAAGGGGACTAGCTTTCCCATTTTAGTCAAGCACTCTGACTGAGAGTTAGGTACCAGACATTCATTTTAATTTTACATATGGAGTTAATCTACAAAGAGTCATGTGTTGATTTATATCCAGACCTTCAAAAAAGGCTATCTAATGGCCTACATGTGATTATATTTCCGTTGCCTTTTGCAGTGTCTGAAGACAATAACATCTCTTTTTGGTATACAAATACATTCATACAATAGTCCAGTCTTTTAACTGTGGCTTACAAAGCGAAATGTTTCTCTGCCTGACAGTTCCTCTGGCTCTTAAAATACTGTGAAAAATATATCTTTTAAGCAGTTCTTTAAACTTGTGCTGCTGCTATTATTATTATTATTAT